ATGTGTAGCGCTGAGCTAATACATATATACTGTATGGTGATAGCATCGGGGCTAATGCTAAAGCTAACAGGCTAAGCTGAGGTTCTTCTTCCATGAAGCAGCTCGCTAGCAGCCTCGCACCGAGGACCTATCCACGTCATCATTTACCCAGAATGCTTTGTGTGTAAATAAAATGGCCCTGTCCATGTTAAAATATATTTTTAAAAATTTACAAAACTAAGCAGTGTTTTTACAGTCTTTATTTTACAGTTAAAATAAATGTTTATCAAATAAAGTCTAATGTTGCAACTAATCATGGATCCCTTTAAAAACTGTATTCTCAATCTTCTGACTCCAATCAGTTTCACAGTCCAGCACTCAGCAGGATTCAGCATAAGACCTTGGGTTGAAACCAAAACCAAAGAGCAGCCCTGCTCTAAGCAGATAATCTTCAAAACACTGACAACTTCTTTTCACTATAATAATGAACTGACCCTATAATGTACACCTCTTCCTCGTTACAGCCCTGGAGGTGTCACCTTTTACGTCAGACATAGAACGTAATTCATTTTTGTTTGGGCTAAAGAAAGAACACATAAAACACACACCAACTCTTATTCTGTTATGGCCTTATGGCTGCAATGATCAGAAAGTATATAATACAGTACTGCATCTAATATTCAATGAATCAGTTACAACATTTCCTTCAGCTTGACTGGGTTATTTTAGTGCTTTGGAATTAGCTTTTGCTAAAACTTTCAGTGTGTTAGTGTTTTAGAATTAGGAGAACTAAATATTTGAGTTAGTGTTTCAAGGCTAGTGGAACTAATTTTTAGATTAGTGCTGCCCATCACTGTACTAAACATCACTGATGTTAGTTCATATTTGGAGCAACTGTTTTTATTTATTTATGTATTTATTTGTTTTTTTAATCTTTTTTAAGGTTCTATTTGAACTTCGTAACAGAAGAGATTGACAACCCTGAGAGGTAAGTAGACTCTGCTGGCTGTTCTGTTAATGGTCAAGTGGACGTGATGAATTAAAATCTGACATGAAAAGGATTTTCAAAGATGGATTAGCAGCACACAGAATATGCATTTTTATTATAATGAATCATTTAATGAACCACTGGTGTATATTGCTCTCTACATTTCCTCTCTGCTCCATTAAACATCCGAATTTATTTCAGCTGATTATTTTGGTTTTAATGAGTCTGTTTTATTGGTTCTGAGCAAAGTTTTTAAACTGCTTACAGAAGCAGGAAGATGTCCTAAATCAGTGCTCACCAACAGGCAGGGGTACATCCTGCATGTGGGGTAAAAATTGGATAGGGGTGGACCAGAGTGGGGAAATAGGCAAATCCCATCTTGTTCTCTGCCATGTGAGCGTTCAAAGCTCTCTCCTTTTCCTCTTCATAGTAAAAGCATCAACACAAGCATTTTATATCTGTAATTGAATCAAATTTTTTTGTTTTTTGGATCTTTGTGCAGATTTCTACTGCGGTGACTAATCAAATATCCTGTATTTTATCAAATGAACACAGAACAGTGTGGCAATATGGAGATAATTTAGTCTCACAACGCAAGCGCTTGCACAAGATTTACATGTGCATGAGTGCACGGATCTGCTCACCTGTGAATGTGACTTTTGAGACTTTTATACATGTAATGCTGCATTCAAGGCTGGTGAAAAGCTGGGACACCTGATCTTTACTTTACCATTTTAACTGGGTTATTGGGAAAAATCAATATCTGATTTATAGCACATAAATCCTACAGTACATTAAAACACATACACTTACATTGGCATTACTGAAATAAACAACTTAAAATGAGTAGGGTGAAAATGTATTAGAATAAATAAACATATGAAATGTTTTTTTTTCCATAAAAAGAATGACTTACCAATTTAAATAGATTTATTTTAGTTGAACAATCCACAAAAATAAAATGTTTTTCTTTAGGTCATTTTATGCATTGTTAAGCATTTTTAACCTATTCATTTTAGGTTGTTTATTTCAGCCGTACAGTCCACAAAATATAACATTTTTGGAACCCAGTACTGTTTGTGTATGTTTTAATATTCTGTAGGGTTTATAAGCTATAATTCAGAAATGTTTTTACTGATAACCCAGTAAATGTGATCAAGCTCAGACGTCCCAGCTTTTCCTCAGCCTTGAATGCAGCATTATACTGTACCTGTGTGAAGGTCCTGAAAGTCACTTTAACTAGCAAGCAGATCCATGCACTTGTGTGTGCAAATCTTCTTGCTTGCTCGCTCAAATCATTGTGAGACTACATTCTCTCCATCATATCTCCATTTTCTGCCACTTATCTGTAGTTGGGTTGTGGAAATTCAGATGTTCCTCTCCCCAGCACCATTTTTCTGCTCATCCTGGGTGACCCCAAGGCATTCCCAGGCCGAAGAGGATATATCCCCAAGCGAGTCCTGGGTCTTCCCCGGGGTCTCCTACCAGTGGGACACGCCAGAACACCCCTAAAGGAGGAATCCTAATCAGATGCCCGAATCACCTCAACTGACTCCTTTCAATGCAGAAGATGACAGAGCTTCTCACCCTATCTTTATGTCTGTAAATCAAGAGCATTGCATTTCATCTCAGCTCTTTCTTCACCACAACTTACCGAAGCAACACTCTCATTACTGAGCAAGAGGCCCCAATCCATCAATCCATCTCCCACTCCATTCTATCATCTTTCGTAAACAAGACGACCAGATACCTTCTCCACTTGAGGCAGAAACTCACCCCCAATCAGAGGGGGCATTACACCCTTTTCAGGTCAAGAACCATGGCCTCAAGTTCAGAGGAACTGACTCTCCTGCAACTTGCCCCAATTAATGCTAAAGTTCTTGGCGTGAAGACTCCAATAGAACCACATCATCTGTATAAAGCAGAGATGAGATCCTTTGGTTCCCAAACCAGACCTCCTCTCCACAACTGCACCTTCAGATCCTGTCCATAAACACTACAAACAGAATCAAAGACAAGGGACAAACCTGGTGGACTTCAACCTGGACTGAGAACAAACTAGTTTTTGTGCCAAGAACAGAGACACAGATCTTGCTTTGGTTCTACAGGGACTGAATTGCTCTTAATAGCAATTCAGTTACTCTGTACTCCCGCAGCACAGAATGCTTCAAGGAATACAGTCATAAGCCTTCTCTGGGTCCACAAAATACATGTAAACTGGAGAGGCAAACTCCCACAACCCCCTAAGCAATTCCACAAGGGCAAAGATCTGGTCCAATGTTCAATTATCAAGACATAAGCCACATTGCTCCACTTGAAATCAAGGTTTGTCAATCGATCAGAGCCTCCCTTCTAACATCATGGAGTATCAACAAGGGCAAGAAGTGTGATCCCTCTATAGTTAGAACATACTCTCCAGTCCCCTTTTTGAAAATAGGAACCACCACCCTGGTCTACTACCACTCCACAGGTGTGGTAGTGTGATGTGATGTAGAAGAGACATGTCAACCATGAAAGCCCCACAACATCCAGAGTCTTCAGCATCACTGGGAGATACTTGTCCACCCCTGGTGCCCTGCCACAGAGGAGCTTTTTGATTACCTCTGTGACCTCAGCCATGGCAATGGACCCCTGAGTCTTCAGGCTCTGCCTCCTCAAAGTTGGAGGAGGTGGTGATCAGTTGACATCTCTGCTCCTCTCTTCACCCGAGTGTCCATGACATAGGGTCACAGGTCAGATGAAACAATCACAAAATCTATCATTGACCTTTGGTCTAAGGTGCAAGTACACTTAGGGACCACCCTATGCTCAAACATGGTGTTCATTAAAGACAACTTGTGCTTAGCACAGATGTCTGATAACAGAACACCATTCGGGTTCACATCAGGGTGGCTGTTCCTCCAAATCACCCCTTACAGATAAATGGCACATGGGCACTGAAGTCACCCAGTAGAACAAAGGAAACCCCAGACGGCGCCCTTTCCAAGAAACCATCCATAGACTCCAAGAAGGCCAGTTAATCTGAACTCATATTTGGTGCATAAGTGCAAACAACAGTCAGAACATTCTCCTGCAGCACAACGTCGCAGAGAGGCAATCCTCTCATTCACCGGAGTGAACTCCAACACCGAGGCATGCAGCCGGGGTCTTGCGTGTATCTCCACACCAGCCCGATGCCTCTCTACCTGGGCAACTCCAGAGTAGGAGAGAGTCCAGTCCCTCTCCAGGAGTTGGGTTCCAGAGCCCAAGCTGTGAGTAGAAGTGAGTCCAACTATATCTAGCTGGTAACGCTCAACCTCACACACAAGCTCCAGCTCCTAACCTGTAAGTGAGGTTACGTTCCAAGTCCCTAAAGCTAGTTTACACCACTAGGAATTGGAATGGCCAGGGACCCTCCCTTGCCTGCTGCCTGGCATGCATCACATCCGGCCTTGATGGTCCTCCTTGCAGGTGGTGGTTGTACATATGCAAATAGATTGGCTTTAATGAAGTGTATTATCACACTAAACATGCTGCTCAGGTCTAAGTTCATGCTCTTTTAATACTTCCCTTGGTGGCTGAGAAGTGTAACAGCAGAGGGTTGACTTGCTACCTCTTTCCTTTCAAGAGCAGATACAGAGACAGGAAGGATGTGTCTAAGGCTGTTAGGATTAGGCAGGACAGAACCCAGGGCACAGGCAGCGTCACAAACGCAAAAATAAATTTAATATAAAGCAAAAGGCTGAAGGGGCAGCACAAAAAACTCACTTGATGTGGCGTAGCAAGACAGAGCACAAGGAACAAGAAAACCCTTCAGGCTGTAAACAGCACAGTGATCTGACAAACACTGAAGACAGGACACAGAATATAAAGGCCAACTAAAAAAAAGAAACACCTGGGAAAGAAGCATGAGGAGCAGGTGAGAGAGGACAGGGCTGGAGCAAATACAGGCAGGAGGGGTAAACAGAGAAAGATGAGAGAGAAAACTAGTATAGAACCAAAAAAAAACATTATCACAGACACAGACCATAACATAGCCCCTGACATCCCAAAATCAAAAAAAGTTCAGGTGGACGTCCATGAATTTCCCATTGCAGAGGCCAATGTCAGGAGGCTGACCAGGAGGACTCCCCTCCACGTTCGACGGGGGTACAGGAGCCGAGAGGAGCCAAAGGGAGGAGGTGGGAGTAGACGTGGAGCCATGGGAGGAGGCAGGAGGCGATGAGAAGCCGGCAGAGGTTGATGGAGCCAGAGACAAGATCATGGTGAACACAGGCGACAGAGGAGACAAAGAGATGATAGCTGATGACCCAGGTGGCATGGAGAAGCCAGCAGCCGACCCATGAACCTCCGGAGTCACCAACACAGGAACTTGGACCGCCAACTCTGGAACTATAAGAGGCGTGGGAGGGTGGGCAACAGGACCGCCAGGAACTGCCACTCCCAACGGGGAAGTAGACGAGAAGAAAGCAGACAGCTCAGCCAGTTTCCCCTACATCTGTTGTAGGTAACTTCTCCAGCAATGTTGTTGGGTCCAGCTTAACTTGGCATGGCGGTGGAGCAGACAACAAGCAGCTTGTTGGAAAAAAAGAAGACTGCCTGCTGGGTTCAGTGTGTTAGATCTTTCTGTTATGATTGGGCTTGGGTAGTTTGAACCCCAGATGCAGGACTGAGTGAAGATGGCAAAAAAAGGTTTTATTTACAAAAAACAAACTGCTGACATAGCAGCAGAAAAATATTCACAAAATTTCCAGGACTGTGACATGAAAAATACAAACAAGAATCTCGGTCCTGAGGCCTATATCACAAAGTCAGATTTCTAAATTCAGGATTTGAGCTGTAAGCCGAGGTTGAACTAGCCTCCAACTCGTAAACAGCCGTAATCAGTTGCACGAACACCAAGCCATGCTCAATTAGGCAGGTTCATACAAGTCAGGTGTAAATAATCTGGGATTAATCCACATTCACAGTTTGTTTACTAGACCCACTGGGTGGATCAAAGATTCCTGATCAGGCATGCGCAGTAAGACACGTGAGTCTCACTTCCTCCAGCAATTTAATGGTTACCGTATTTTTCGGACTATAAGCTGCGACTTTTTTCCCAAACTTTGAACCATGCGGCTTATAGTCCGGTGCGGCTTATGTGTGGATTTTTTTCTTCAGCCACCAGGGGGCTCTTATGCTGCATTTGCTTCAACCACTCGCTTCAAAAAAAGAAAGAAAAAAAGCGATCGCTTCTAGAGCTTTCAAAAGTAAAAACTTTTTGTGCCACTGAATCTGTTCCCAAGTTATCTGAAATTAACAAAATGAACAGATCACAGCTGTACAATAAGGAAATGACGTTACAGATCAGAGGGAAATCTTGCAGCGCTGACAGGAGAGGAAGCGCGTGTATGTGTTGGGGGGAGGCGGGGGCTTCAGCAGGCACAAAGCTGAGGTTGAAGGGTTTATTTATTTATTTATTACAGATAATCTGATAAATAAATAAAAACAATATTTTCTCTATAATATTTTAATGCAAAGGAAAAAGTATAAATTTAATAATTGTATGAAACTCTGATTTCTGTTCAGACACTGCAAAAATGAATAATCTGAAAATAAGTACAAAATACTAGATTATACTCTGAATCTTTTCAAATAAATAAGAATTAATAATCCGCAGTTTGACAGTTGCACTTGGTAAGACTTATTGAAATAAAGAAAACTTCAGGTTAACAAGATTAATAATCTAACATATTCTGATCTTGTTTAGTATATCGGTCTAAAAAAACAAGATCGAAATACTTTTTCGCTGATATCAGACTGTAAAACTTTGTTAGAGGAACAGTTTTCTGCAGTAAAATGACTCTACTGCTAAAAAACATTAACATATTAAATAAACTTCACATTAAACCTGATCAGGTCCAGGTTAGTTTCAGAGCACTTGTTACCACAGAAACATGAGTGCTTCCTCTGTCATGCACCTGATTCAAGGTTTAATTAATTCAGGTTTACACCAAAATCCCGGGTTAATCCCTTATCCCAGTTTCATGCAATAGGTCTCTGGCATGAGACAGCAACATCAACAGTAAACAAAGTTCTGACACACACTGAAGACACAAAACAGAATATAAAGGAGAACTTACGAGCAGAAACAAGAAACACCTGGCAGAGAAACATGAGGAACAGGTGAGAGTGGGCGGGGCTGGAGCAAAGACAGGAAGGAGGAGGTAAACAGAGGACAAGACAGAAAACCAGACTAGAACTAGAATAACACAAGAACTCAGACAGTCCAAAACAAAGGCTTAAAGTTTTTAATGAAAGTAGCTAATCAAAAAATATAAATGGGAGGACAATTGTGTGACAGTTCTGTTTTTATAAATACTTTTTTTTCTAAGGACGGTGCCATTAGCCATTTGCATCTCCATGGCGATTGTGACTTCCTGCTATGTGCTGACCAATGTAGCATACTACACCGTGATGTCAGCAGAGGAGCTCCTGGCCTCACCGGCTGTCGCTGTGGTAAGAATGTGAACTAATGAGGCCATTATAGTGACCATAAATAAATTAAAACTTAGTTTAACAGTTGTAGTGTCCATCCTTTCATCTAGCCCTTCACTTTCCTAATGGCATACATTAAAAAAACTTAATGTAGACAAACAAAAAATAACTATACAACACAACATCTTCAAAAAGCTTGATTGGTCTCTCAGCAGGATGTGACATTTGTTGCGTTCTGTGATGTTGCAACCCTCTGTGAATTGGGACCTTTGTGTGCCTGAATGAATCCAAGGAGCTATACTGTCTGGGATAATTTCCTCCTAAGGCAAGTGTGGTCCTAAGTGACAGGCCAGACAATAAGTGATTCACAGCATTTGTGTGAATGGGAAGAAAAACAAGGAGCTCAGTGTCCCTTTCCAGAACATGGATTACTGGGCAACACCATCAGGCTTTAAGGTAGGACTTTGGAAGAAAGCCTTGACATTTTAAACCAGTCAACCCACCTTACATAGATTAAAACATATTACAAACAGACCAGGAACAGAGATTCAGTTTCAATTTATACTCAATTTATTCCTTATGTGTCTTCCTCTGGCTTCAGAAAGCAAACACGCTGCTTACAAAGTTTACAGAAGTTTGCTAAATTTACATAAAGTTACAGACAAACCAGCAAAGGAGATTGCGACAGCAACACACAACATCTACTGGATGTATTGTAAAACCAAAAAGGATGTTGTTTTGACACCCCAACGCCCCTCTAACTAAGTACCTGACCACCTTGGAACCTGGGGGAGGGGCTTTTTGGTGAGAACCTGGTGAAAAGGTTTGACCCATAGGCTGGATCTGGCCTAGCTGAACTACATGGGTTCACCTTTATATAAGGCCACCACCGGCAGGAGGGCCCATACAAGTTGGGCACAATGTGCTGCATGGCAGCTAAAACCGGTGGCTAACGCTAGCTTAGCAAAGCTGGATTTTGGGACATGGAATGTCATCTCCCTGGTAGAAAAGATAATCTGAGCTTGTGTGTGAGGTTGAGGTACTGACTAGATTTATTCAGGCTCACCTAGACACACAGCACACATTCTGGAAACTAAAGTTAGATTTACACTCGATGCGTCGCGTAGGGCGCCAGGGTGCGGACATCAAAGGTGATGCAATATCGCAGTCCCCGCCCCTGTGCTTTGGCCCCGTGCATCATTTTGGCACGTGTCGTGCACCTCCGATTTTTTGAAACTCCGCGCGCCGTTGATGACGCAAAGCTGCTCAAGTATCCGGATGTACCAGCATTTATATGATCCCTCTATGAGAGATCATAAAGATGTTCAAATGGGCACAGAATGGGCCTCATGCAAGAACATGTTCGTATTCTTCTCCTAAATTTCTCTTCCTTTTGTTCGTACAAAGGGTTCGTACGAACATGTCACGTCAGATTCAACAAACACTTCTATCTTCAGGAAAAGTGTGTAAATGAGCTGCGTAAATTCACCTGTTCTATCCAGCTGCTCGTGCACGCGAGAGGAGATTAGCATAATTACCACCCCAAAAACACCATATAAGGCTGTGTTTCCTGCCTCAGATATCAGGAAGTGTCCATTCATGAAAATGACAGTGAAAACTAAAAAGAAAAACTTTATGAGTTCAGAGATTGAAGTCCGTCTGTCAGAGATCCAGAAAAGAAAATCTGTCATTTTTAGCAGGTCAGCTGTGGAATAAAAAGAGCTGCTAAAAGTATAAACAACTGTGTTAAATCATTTTCATTTGTTCAGAAGACACAGCGCTGCGCACCGTACACCCCCCCACCCCCCACCCCCCCGCGCGCGCGCTGCGCGGGCGCAGGTGGTCTCAGAGGCGGATTTGAAATAATCATTTTAAAATGTTTTCAAAATAAGTCTGGCACTTTGGAGAAAATCCAGGACTTGATCATATATCCCCTCTGGTCTGGGAACGTCTTGAGTCCCCCAGGACGAGCTGGAAGGTGTCGCTGGGGAGAGCGGGGTCTCCTGCTGCCACCGAGACCTGACCCCGGATAAGCGGCGGAAAACGGACGAACGGACAATTTATAGTGTTAGTCTAAATTATTACATTTAAAATTATAACTTTAATTCAAACAGAATAACCTATTGTCAACATAATTATGGAGTGTGATTTATTTTCAACTCAAAATATCTTCAAACTAACGAAATATAAAGTTATTAGTGAAGAAAACCCGTCTGGATAACAGCAGACTGACTGCTGGTAAAATATACGACAGGTCTGGACCACTCCTGAATTTTGTTCGTATCTGAAAAAAATCTTAGAATACGAAAACATTGGTGAATGTCACAAATTCTCCTAAATCACTCGTACGCACAACTTAAGAACAAATCTGTGCGTACGAACGGTTCTTACATGAGGCCCAATGTTTGTGAGGAGATCGCTGAAGAGATGCAGAAAAATGAATCTGTGTGTAGAAAGGCTTGGAAAAATGAATTGCGTGTGCTAGTAATGTATTAAGTAAATTTACTTATCTGAAAAATAAACCAAAAGAATGTCTTAGAATTACTCTTTTGATCATCACTAAAACTTGATTTTTAAAAACAAAATTTAAATTTGAGGGTTTTCCCTGTGAGGCAGCAAAGCTTTCTTTCGATTCATGATGGGAATTATACAATACCATTTGAGATTTCCAATTTATAATAACATCGAATGCTCTTCTTACACTTACAAAAAAGTCTGTTTCATACCTGATTTTATAGTGAAACTATTGATGACTTTGAGAATAAGACAATATGCAAACAAAACTGAGAAGGAAAGTTGCAGTGGATATTTCAATGTAGTTTTATTTTATTTAACATCATTTACACTCGAAAATAGACTTAAAAACTAAAGATACAAGGCCAAAACAGGAGGCAGCAGTGGCAGCTCCACAACAACTTCAAAATTAAAATAAGAACATGATGAATAAAATAGAAACGAAATAAAGTTGTGTGACGTCATACATTTCTTCTTCTACGCCCGTTTTTCTTCTTCTACATCTGTTTCTTGCAACCTATGCACAGGTTTTAGAGGTACTGCCACCTGCTGCTCCGTAAAAGAACAGCACTTTGATGTGCACCGCTGCACGTCAACTATAAACACAGCGGTGAAACTGTAAACGCAGAAGGCGCACGGCTCAGTGCGCGCTCACTCCAGCCGGCGGGCCAAAGCGCGAGTATATCTCAACCTTCATCTTCTTAAAAAAGAGAGAGGGAGAGACTTATTGGCTCCGGTTTGACACCTGCATGTCAAGGTTTTTCCTGGTAGATGAGAGGGTAGCTCAGCTGTGCTCTCAGGTTTTTATTGTTTTCAGAGTACAAAGCTTGTGAGAAGGCTGGAAGGTGCTCCAGCTCAGGACTCCACATTTTGTTGGGGGTCTTTAATGCCCATGTGGGTACTGACAGTGTAGGATAGGGCAGCAGCTAAACAAAGTTTATTTCCCATCAATTGTTTGTGGCATCCATACTGTAACTTATGCCCAAAACTATACTAACTTTCACAGCAAATTTTGTAATGCAACTTAGATTTAGTCAGAAGGCAGATTTTAGGAGTTGACATTTGCTCTCCTGCAGAAGAAAGTTGTGCCATCTATTTTAGGCGTTTATGGTTTACGTCTGAGGTTGTGTTTAACCCTGATGTGAGCAGCATGACTGACTTCCTGCACTTAACATTTCATCATTAGCAAAGCATTTATGATCGCTTCGCTTTCCAACTTATGCAATATTCCAGCCCAGCCCTGTTAATGCTAATCACATCACACACACTCCCCAACAGCAGCCACCGGTCCTTATTAGACTGCAGACTTCTCTCAGTGCCTCTGTAGCTGCTGAAGACTCAATCACCGAGAGCTCCTGCTCTTTTATAATGCACTTAGGTTTATTAGCTTGTGCACAATGAGCATTAAGAACACTTTAAGAAAGATATTAGGAGCATTTATGTGTTCTTAGAAGGTTGATATGATAAAAGGATTACGTTCTTGTTCTTCCTCTATCACAGACAGTGAGAAGTTTGCATTGAAAACTTAATTTAAAAATTTAACTCATGTCTCCAACTTGGATCAAGGATGCTTGGCACAAGGAGTAAGTAATGTTAGAAGACCTTACTTTGAGATGTGTTCACATTAGGGGAAGAGTGTAAAAAGCCATTAAAAGTAAGAGTTAAATGAACACATTGTTGGAGCTTTTCAAAAAGTAACTATTATAATAAAGAAAATCAAGTTTGGTGAACTTTACAACTAAACATTTCAAATTAGAAAGATGTTAAACAGCCTCAAACTGAATCAGAAAACAATAGGTATGTTTGGCCTTAAGTCTGAGCTCACAATTAGCAGCTAGACAAAGATGGAGAGCTCCCTGTGTGTCATGGTGTCTGACTCAAAAATGTCAGAGTTTTGTTCATGATTGATTGTAGGATGAGGGATAGATTTTGTTGTGATGAAGAAGAAGCTGAGACCAAAGATTTACTGGTCTCTCTACGTTTCAGCCTCAGGGTTGGAGGTGTCTGCTGTCTTCCATTGTTACAAGCAGTGATTATGCTTTATCACGTCTGTCTAACAAAGTGGAGTCTGTTCCTTTGATGTTTGCTGATGACACCTAAAACTAGTTGTTTACTCGCGATAGGACGACCATCAGCCTAACAACTGTTTGTCAGTGCCCTGATCATCACCGAATGTTCACAGGGGGCTGATATATGGTGCTGTTTGTAAAGTTACACAGTCAAAAATTACCACCAATATTTGTTGTTTTATTTAACC